CACACTTGATTACAGTGTTGGACGGGTATTTTTTTTGTGCACCTGTCAGTCTTAGAACGATGTTTCAATTCCGTTCATAGAAAAGAGATTTTCGTATTAAGAACTTTGATAGTTATTAGCTAATAGTTAGACTGTATTAATTCTATCGGACGTTTTGTACAAGTATTATATCTCTCAGATCTCACGCTCAGCGTGGAAGGCAGTCATTTTAGCCACTAGCCTGTTTTACAGCGGATGTTTTTCCCGAGTTAACAGAGATTTAATCCACTTGTACCACGTGACTCGCCGAATATGGAATAATCGTTAACTGCTTTTAGTTATGTGCTTTTATGACAGTGGATCGAGACACGTATTAGATTTACCTTTGTTTGAGCCGCGCATTTGTAGCTCAAACTCATAGAAAGTATCTTTTTTGTTTAGCGCGCACGACACGTTTTTGTGTTGCGTGTGGGGATTAGAATATTCTTAACTCTACGGTTTTTGCTAGAGTTTATTTCCTAATTTTAACTCGGATAGTCGGATATCTATTTTTAACAAAGAAAGTATAGGGAGTTAAGTCTTTAAGATTGTAAAAGTCATGAGTTAAATTATTAGTAAGTACTTTTTCTTTTTTAAAGTAGGGTGAATGTTAGAATCTTAATTCTATTTGTAGCTTGTTTTTGTACTTCATATTACTAACCTTGTATCTCACTTTAGCAAAGGTTTAGTTCCAGTGATTGTATATACAGTGTTGGGGTAAAGGGACTCCAGAAGGCAGACAAGGCTCGACTCCAGACTCTAGTTGAAGTAACAGAAGAGAGAGGAGTGTCCAGTGTTTAGTTGACTCCAGACTCTAGCGAAGCAGAAGGGAGAGGAGTGACGTTGTCGACTCCAGACTCTAGCGTAGCAGAAGGGAGAGGAGTGACGTTGTTTTAGTGATCCCACAGATTCCAGTCGACAGATACTATCTGTGTTCTGTGACGTGGAAAGAGTGGTAAGTAGTTTATAGTTATAGTTTAGTAGTTTAGTCTAGGAGTTCCCGCTTCCTCTTTCACTTTCATTTATAGTTTCACGTGGATTACCTTTCACTTTACTCACGGTAGTTTTCCCCCAGGGTTTTGTTTTTTATTATAGTTATCAGTTCCAGTTTAGTTGAAGTCCTCATCATTCAGAAGTACCTCATATAGTAAGAAGAACATCATCATCAGGAGTAGTAGTTTTAATTTAATAGTAGTTTAATCTAATAGTAAAAAGACATTATTTAATTTAGTTTTGAATTGTGTATTAGTTAGAGCAGTGTGAGTAACTGAGTCACACCAATCACCATTTAATCACTCATTCACTATTTGAGGGTGAGTACATAGAGTAACAAGGTTACATTTGAAACACCATTTATTTGTATAACCTCTTTATTCATATAATTTGTATTTATAATAATTGAGTATTATTTGTTATTTAATTAACCCAAGAACAGGGTTCCAACAGTAACCACCTCATCAATCAGACGGGTTACCCGCCTCTGGACGCTCTCCAATAAAACAAGCTGTATTCAAGGATTTTACAACTTCTTTGCAAACAAAGAATAAGTCACATTTGTTATAATGAGATGCTCCTTGGCAGCTGGATGGAATTCTAAAAAGTCCCAATTTTTAACAAACTCAAACTCAAGACTGATATACCACTTTTTAAAAACTTCTCTCCAAGGGTCTGATTCATTAGCGGGGGCTAGAATGTTCAGTAAAACTGTTTGACAGCCATAGCTGTCCTAGCAAAATCCAAAGCAAAATCAACCAGCTTTCTCCCTATACCTCGTCTTCGAGACTGAGGGCTAACTACCAGCATGGAGAGATCTTTTTCAGCTTCACTTATCCTTACCAACACTAATCAGCCAACAATATTTCCTGAATTCACAGCAACAAACAATTCTTTTTTAGCACAATATAGGTCAAACTCTTTGTCAGTTAATCGTTTAACGGGTGATACTCGTAAAATATCTGTTCCATATATTGGACGGCGCGCGATCAATGCGTGGGCGCGATTTGCGATTGCCGCAGTTAGTAACAGTTTGTGGCAGTTAGCGCCAGTTTGTAGCAGTTAGTAGCAGTTTGTGTTGATTCACGATGTCAATCCTTTGCATCTCGCCGATCTGCATACGGTGGTTGCGAGAAGCATTATTGTATGCGCGCGCGGCCCAGTAGTGCATCGCGCTACAACAGTTTATGGTACTTTCTTTGCACTTTGCTCCTCCTGTGCGTGGGGGTCACAACGTGATACAAGTTTCACTGTAGTCAATAGTAGAGTTTCTTCGATACAGGGGAGCCGCGCACTCGTGCGCGGCGGGTCATAAAACGTTTGACAACACCCGTTAAAGTTTTTTACGCATTTATAATTTATAATGTAAATTAATAAATACAAAGTATTTTCCTTTTCACAATTCACGTTTAATGTCAAAATCCATCGTCCATTGTTAATGGACTAGCCCAGTGCGCGCTACTTCGTAGCACTTGCTTCGGGCCATTTCTGATTTCGAGAAAAAATAATCGCGGCGCGTGCTACTTTAAATTTAGACAATTAAATTTGGAGGACTTCGCCGTTTCGACGCGCCGCGCAAACTAGCATTCTTGCTTCGCATAGTAACGATCTGGAAGGGTTGTCATCGCGTCAATCAAAGTAACATCCGCCAACAAAATCTACCATTTGAATCAAATTGCATATGTGTGGCTGGCTGTGAATTGAACTTAGTAAAACAAAATTTGAAGTTAAACAAAATTTAAATGGTATTGCCATACTTCAATAGTAATAAATTATAATATCATAATAAAAATAATTAAACTTAAACATCCGATGTAATAAAATCATAAGTATTGGATATTCTAACGAAATGCAAAATACGCTTTTAATATATACTTTTATATATATAGTGAACTACTCAAAAATTCGTCTCAATCACAAATTTTTATCAGCGCAATTCAAAATTTAAATAAAAATTCTAAAGCAGAAGTGAATGTTAATCAAAAAATATTTCCTCAACTGACTTGTTTTCTAAATGTTTTAATTTCATAAATAAATAGTCCATAATGTCTTGAATTTCACTATTTCATAAACTTGAACAGCTCGTGTAGCATGAAATAAAAATAAAATCTTATCACGAGAAAATTATTAAATCTTATTGAAATATGAATTCAAAATTTAAACTTTCCTTCACAAAATTCACAAGCTGAATCAATTTATTATGCGTTCTAAAAGTTAATTTGTATAGTTTGACTGTTCAAATTCAATTCAATGTATGTACATTAAAATTGAACCTTGTGCAAAATGAAATATAAATTGATATTGCTCAATATAAAGTATGCTTAATATAATACAACATTTTCCCGGATTCAAGGTTGAAAAATTGTTAGATTTTTCGGGAATATGCAAGAATTTCAGGCAGTGTATTTAACTACCTCAAAGTGTGAATAATACAAATCGTGCAGTGATTAGGTTTTATTTGAACTATTTAGAATCGGTGTTACAGCAGGTATATAATGTTACTACTGCTGCTCACTGCTGCTCACTGCTGAAAACTGCTGAAAACTGCTGCTCACTGCTGCTCACTGCTGCTCACTGCTGCTACCTGCTGCTATGGGCGAAATTGAAATTTAATTAGCTGAACCATGCCTAACCCTGGAGTTCCACGGCTCAGTTTTGCAACCAGATTTGCTCACATTTTTTCTCACATTTTTGCGACCGGGAATGAAATTCAAAAATATTTCCCCGCACGGAGAAAAATTTTTGATATGACCCAAAACTCCGTGAAAGCAGTTCTAACCTGGGCGCTCGCGTGGGAAACTTCATTATAATGCGCCTACGTGCGCGCGCAAATCTGCATGCAAATACCAACCGTGGGAAAGTACATTGTAAACAAAACTGCCTTCGCAGAGTTTTGCCTTTCAAAACTCTTTTCACGGAGTCTTGTCAATGAAACAAGAAATTTAATTTTAGCACATTTTACAGAATAAAAAGATGTAAAACAATTCATAAAATATAATGCCCATTTGGTGTATGGTGTCTTGTGTCAAATCTGGTCGCAAAACTGAGCCGTGGAACTGGGCTGTTACTCGAGATAATATTCTTTTCTGTGTTTCACTGTGTCTGCCAACAAAATTGTAGTGTAGGTCAGAAAAGGAGGCTCTATCCTAGGACACCATCATATTTTGGATTGGCACCCAGGAGAAAGCTGCCTTATTCTTTGTATTTTGTCTCAAGTATTATGTATAATTAGTAATTAGAGCATCTTTTTCCACTCTGTTTATTTCACTGTCCCTACTTGTATGTTGCCCAGATAGTTTGGTGACTATTGGATTTTCATAAATAACTCTTATCATAGTAACTGTTCTGCAGTAAACTTTTTCAATCATTTTTTATTGTATATGGAAGTATTCAGATTGTTTCTTTATACATATATCTTTATGTATATTATATTTGGAGTTCTATAGAATTTTATAGAAATTTTAATATTTTTCTTTCATTTGTTTTGTTAGAAAACCTGCTAACCTTTCTTAGATATCTTTTTGTGAGGTGTATATGCCTTATATAGTCAGGATTTAAATTGCAGTTATTAACTTCTGTTTTCTTAATAGTTTCACTCCCGTCCAAGGCGAGATGCACAATCTCTACTGTCATTTAGTTATCATTTACAGCTGAGCATGAGCATAAGGGTTAAATTGAAATTATTTAACCTTTTGGTGCTGTATAAAAATAACATTAATTTATTATTTTTATTATTATTACCTTAAGTCAAATCTGCTACTTTTTAGGAATAAAGATACATGTGAAGTGTAAGGATTTTAATCTAAAGTTGTAAGGATTTTTTAAGGTTTGGTTAGGTTTACGCCTTAATCTTATTTCCTGTTTGAATTTATTTCTGTTCACAATTTAGTATTTACACATTATCAATAATTGTCGCTAATGAGGCTGTTGGTCGAGACTCTCAAATTGTACCTCAGTACTTATACATATATAATCTAAAGCGTCAACTCACTTTAGGTTAGGTACAGTTTTTTATCCATGTCAATGCTATCAAAACAACCATGAATTGATCTCTAAGAGATGGAAGTCTCTGTGAAGGAGAAAGATGAGGATCCGCTCTTCCGTCGATCATCCCGGAAGAGACGAAAAATAAATTACAAAAGTAAGTTATTTGTTACACAACACAGTAGTGTCGTTGAATAAACTTCACATCAATTCTATTTGGTCATTTAGTGAATATTATTTGACCAAATATTTTTAAAAATATTATATCATCATATTTATAATTGAAATTTAATCATTTTTCAGGTGAAAAGCAACTGAGGGTGATAGTTAAAAAAGAGGAACAAACCGATGGAAAACCCAGAAAAAGGGGAAGGCCAAGGTTTTTATTATATATACTGAAATTAAGTTTTGTCAAAGTGGTTTAGATATCAATTTCTTAATCGTTGGGGTAACCCTGGCCTAATTTACCTTAAGTAAACAAATAGTACAATTATAAACAAATACTTTTTCTCAGGAAGCAGCCTCTTCCTATTCCTCCTGAAGAATTGGACACTAAATCACTGAAATTTTTGGGTACACCTGTTTTGGGGACACCTGTTTTGGGGACACCCGTTTTGGGGACAACTGTTTTAGGGACAACTACTGTAAAAAAGAAGTGTAGAAAATTTAAATTAGATGAAATTGACATCATAATCGAAGAATACATCAAACTGGGAAACGAAGATGGAATGAAAAGAATTATCAATTCCTTGCAATGTGCTCTACAGACAACACCCAAGAAAACTTCTAATGCTTGTCAAAAAGGTGGTACAGACATAGTAAAAGAAGCACCAACTCCTGTAAAACAGAGAACAAGAAAATCTACCGAAACTCCTAGGAACCTTTCCAGTGCAGCAATTGTTTCAGAGAACTCACAGCCTCAAAACATAAACCCACGGTTACAATCTGCTTCATCTATTCCAGCAAACCTTCAAACTAAGTCGATATCAGTGCATGGAAACAGTGTTATAATGCAAGGTGTCATTGATACTGGAATGGCTCAAACCTCGTGTTTTCTCATTCCGATTGATATCGGAAACATTGGTCAACTTCCAAGTCAGTTGAAAATGTTTTTAGAACTTGAGTATAATTGTACAGTTATTAGAATATATATTATATATTCGCATATTGACATATCCACACTATATTTGCATTGCACGTTCAACGTCAGTGCAGTGTGTACAACACCAACTAAACCGATCAATTGCCAATCTGCGAAACATTTAATTATTATTATCACTTCGTGATGGCAGGGCCTACTCTCATGCTGTCTATAGGTGATGACTAATTCTGAAAAACTTGATATTCCGCACAAAGCATGAAATTGTGCTGTATATGAGTGGTGATTTCGCTCTGAGAATCAGGGTCAGTAGCTCAATTGGTATATAGCAAGACAGGCGAAATGTCGAGGTTCTGGGATCTAATCATTCCCCAGTTATTCCTAGTTTTTCAGAATTAATCATCACCTATAGACAGCATGAGAGTAGGCCCTGCCATCTCGAAGTGATATAATTGTACAGTATAATGCACTTCTCGCATTGGAGTGTAGCATATTAACTGTTCGACAGTAAGATTCCATTCTTTTGTTCTTTTTTATAACATGAATGGAATGATGTGCAAGTAATTATATTAAATATGCTATTATCCAGGTGGGGTCCAGGTTATCCAGAGCACTCCAAATCAAATGATGGGAAACCAACATCAGGTCCTCAACACACAAACATCTCAAAATGTAGGAAACTCTAGTGTACTCATCCCCATCAACCAGCAATCACATCAGAATCTATCCCAACAACAACAGCAGCAGCAACAACAACAACAACACCAACAACAGCACCAACAACAGCAACAGCCTCAGTTTCTGCCTCTCAACCTCCCTGTTCATAACACGACTAACAGCACCAACACAGCATTTGCAAATGGAGGACATGGTTTAACAACCAGTACTTCAAATAAAGCCGGTAGTTTTAACGGTAGTTGTGATAAAGCACCTCCGTTTAAAGGCATCATTAGATCTACAAGTTCAAACAGCAGTGTTACTGTAACCAATTCTATCCAAGGGAGACCACTCACAAGTGCTCCTCGTATCATAGAGGAGGATATTTCTGTCACCAACCAATCAACCGGTGATTACCATTAACAACGTTATAATCAATTAATACATTATATTAATTGAACATTTCATAAATAAGAAATATCATCAAAGTTAGTTTCAAATAACATGTATCGATAAATTGTTATCCATTTTTATGATTATATCCGAAATTTCGTTATATAAGCTTATCGTTAATTTCGCAGATTCTGTTGAAGTCTCGGTCGCTGACAAAGTACAAATAATTAACAGCAGTGCTAACAAGAAATCGCCAAAAGGTAATGATGCTACAAGTGCCCAAGTGGACGCAGTGGTGGACGCACTCCAGTCAACTGATTCTCTTTCTCAGGTGACTACTACCTTACATTTACTTTCACTTTCACCTTAATGTTTATTTCTATTTTCACTTTCACTTTAATTTCAGTCAGACAAAATCTAACCTTATCTCAATATCCTAACATAATTTAAAATTCACAGTTTGTAGAAATACTTCTACTTTCGTTTTACTTCTACTTTCTTGTCAGATGTTAGACCAGCTGTCGCATGACGACATGGTTTCTATAATCAGTATCCTGACCAACAGTCCCACACCAGCTCCCACCACTAATCCTGGTTCTGCTTCCACTTCTGATAATCTCTCTACTGACCTGGCTAAGGTGAGAAGCTTAATTTGTAACTTGTAATTTGTGATTTATAATTTGTAACTTGTAATTTGTAATTTGTACTAGGGCCGGGAGTATTCTACTCTTCGAGCCACTGAATGTGCGTTTTTAGAGCTCAGCCTCAACAAATTTTATTTTTCTGTTACGTCGTAATTTTCGTTCGTCCTGATTTGCCTAAATTCGTGTCTATTAATCAATCCGTCGAGTCAAAATGCTATATATAATATAATTAGTATTGGACTATTAATTTATTTTATAGATAGTTATCGTACATTGTACAATACTTTTAACTCAAATTCCCCTTACTTAGCTGGCAAGTGATATCGACAAGATCTCAAAATTGGACCCTGATCAGTTATCTAACGGAGTGGTTAATCAGCTGGCAGCTGAAATATCCAAGGTACGGGATGTTGTGGTACGGAGGAATGGTATTCCTAGTATTTCGCTGATTAAATGACCTTATTTAGCTACTTTATTTAATAGACTGGTTCTGATAGACTTCTGACAAGTTGAACTTAAAGTGATTTTTGATGAACTTAAAATTCTGGTTATATTATTAGTATGTGGCTTCCTCTTCTCTCTGTCTCGGGGCAGTATCATGTACTAAGTACTTAGGTGAGAATTAGTTATCTAATGAGTTATTAATTAATTGTTTAATTAATTAATTATTTAATAATTGCTTATCCCTCCAGTTGCTATCAAGTACTGCAGCTCCTGTTACCCCAGAAGAAGGACCAGACAAGCTACTCACTAAACTACTTGACACTGCAATACAGGAGGAAGACGAGGACTTTCAACATGTCCAGATTATGTGAGAATAGTTTGTAATTTGTTATTTTTAATTTCAACATGTCCAGATTATGTGAGAATAGTTTGTAATTTGTTATTTGTAATTTCAACATGTCCAGATTATGTGAGAATAGTTTGTAATTTGTTATTTGTAATTTCAACATGTCCAGATTATGTGAGAATAGTTTGTAATTTGTTATTTGTAATTTCAACATGTCCAGATTATGTGAGAATAGTTTGTAATTTGTTATTTGTAATTTATACATGTCCAGATTATGTGAGAATAGTTTGTAATTTGTTATTTGTAATTTCAACATGTCCAGATTATGTGAGAATAGTTTGTAATTTGTTATTTGTAATTTCAACATGTCCAGATTATGTGAGAATAGTTTGTAATTTGTTATTTGTAATTTCAACATGTCCAGATTATGTGAGAATAGTTTGTAATTTGTTATTTGTTATTTCAACATGTCCAGATTATGTGAGAATAGTTTGTAATTTGTTATTTGTAATTTCAACATGTCCAGATTATGTGAGAATAGTTTGTAATTTGTTATTTGTAATTTCAACATGTCCAGATTATGTGAGAATAGTTTGTAATTTGTTATTTGTAATTTCAACATGTCCAGATAATGTGAGAATAGTTTGTAATTTGTTATTTGTAATTTCAACATGTCCAGATTATGTGAGAATAGTTTGTAATTTGTTATTTGTAATTTCAACATGTCCAGATTATGTGAGAATAGTTTGTAATTTGTTATTTGTAATTTCAACATGTCCAGATTATGTGAGAATAGTTTGTAATTTGTTATTTGTAATTTAAACATGTCCAGATTATGTGAGAATAGTTTGTAATTTGTTATTTGTAATTTCAACATGTCCAGATTATGTGAGAATAGTTTGTAATTTGTTATTTGTTATTTCAACATGTCCAGATTATGTGAGAATAGTTTGTAATTTGTTATTTGTTATTTCAACATGTCCAGATTATGTGAGAATAGTTTGTAATTTGTTATTTGTAATTTCAACATGTCCAGATTATGTGAGAATAGTTTGTAATTTGTTATTTGTAATTTCAACATGTCCAGATTATGTGAGAATAGTTTGTAATTTGTAATTTGTAATTTCAACATGTCCAGATTATGTGAGAATAGTTTGTAATTTGTTATTTGTAATTTCAACATGTCCAGATTATGTGAGAATAGTTTGTAATTTGTTATTTGTAATTTATACATGTCCAGATTATGTGAGAATAGTTTGTAATTTGTTATTTGTAATTTCAACATGTCCAGATTATGTGAGAATAGTTTGTAATTTGTTATTTGTAATTTCAACATGTCCAGATTATGTGAGAATAGTTTGTAATTTGTTATTTGTAATTTATACATGTCCAGATTATGTGAGAATAGTTTGTAATTTGTTATTTGTAATTTATACATGTCCAGATTATGTGAGAATAGTTTGTAATTTGTTATTTGTAATTTATACATGTCCAGATTATGTGAGAATAGTTTGTAATTTGTTATTTGTAATTTCAACATGTCCAGATTATGTGAGAATAGTTTGTAATTTGTTATTTGTAATTTCAACATGTCCAGATTATGTGAGAATAGTTTGTAATTTGTTATTTGTAATTTCAACATGTCCAGATTATGTGAGAATAGTTTGTAATTTGTTATTTGTAATTTCTACGTTGTACCTCGTGATTTGAGGTTATTCTTTTGTTAATATTACTGTTTTGTAAGTTATTATATTTTTTCATTTTTTATCTATTTTTATTGATAATTTATTAAAGTAGTTTCCTAATATTTCCTTGTGTTTAAACGACCCCCTCCTCTCAGACAAGCTGACAGTTTGTAATCTCTAGTATAGTAGTAACAGTAAGAATATTTCCTTGTGTTTGAACCCCTCCTCCCCCAGACAAGCTCAACAACAAACAACAGAGGAAGTTAACACTAACGCTGGGTTAAAGTGTTACATGTGTGGTTTAGTGTGTCCTGATGAGCGGGCTTTCATTACTCACATGCGCTTCCACCTCTTCAACTACAGGTTAACACTAGCACCATTTGATAACTGCCCGAAACTAATGAACCAACTTATCAGTCACTTACTATGGGCAGATGATCTGATACTCTTGGCACTGGACCCCAAAACCCTCCAAAAGCAACTCGATGCTTTGAACAATTTCTGCTTGGAATGGGGCGTCGAAATTAATGCAGATAAAACTAAACCATTTTAACTACTGCAATTTGGAAACTCCTCTATATATAAACCTCTGTATATTATAATAAAACCGTGATTCTCTATACCGGGTCCCTTGATATACCTCTTCTTCCCCCCAAACGTTTAGTAAATTGGCTCTTTGTACCGGTTTTTGTTCTATACCGTGCACTTTTCGTTTCCCTCCAAAGGCCTATTATATATTAAAGTCACTATTGTGACGGTACATTAGAACTAGAGGTTTTACCGTACATGTAAACATTTGTTGATTAGGTTTGGGATTATTTACACTATGTAGCTATGTGTAGAGCGGCTTTCGGAGGGATGAACAAAATCTGGCCATATGTAAAATACCCCTTACTATAAGCTTTACCTAACTGACTAATCATATTGTTTACTGATTGTGTTGTTAATTGCCTGAGAAGTGAACAATAGATCAATCCAATCGCTCCAAATTTGGACTTCTGGTTGGGAGGCTACAACATGTTTCTTTAAGAAACCTATATAATATTTTTGCTAATGAAACGTTTAATTATTCGAATTCAGTAGGCCAATAGACACTTTTGGGAGTTGAGAAACTCCCGGAAAATGGGGTTTAGCCGTAAATCCAATATTAATAATATTAAGTATTATATTAAGTATTATTAGCGCTATTGGACACTGTTCAATAGTCTAAATCAAAACACCGAATCACCTGAAAAATAAATCTAATTTGTATTAACCAAGGTCCGATAATCCTAGTTAACGGGTTTGATTGTAATTAGTAAAATGCTCAGGTATTCGTGTTACGAGTGTGGGTTTGGGACCAGCTCAATGAATGAACTGTTACTACACAAAGCTGAACAACATGAGGGGGACCTCACTAAAATCAGTCCTGAGTTACTTAAAGGTTAGTTTCACTTTCACTTAAAGGTTAAATTCACTTTCACTTTCATTGATACTCAAACTTTAGTTATGCATGAATTTCAATCGGTCCTCAAGTTATTTGTATGTTTGTTGCTTGTGATATGCTTGGAAACAGTTTGGACAAGTTTTGTTGAAAGCACGGAAAAGTTTCACGAAGCCTCTATTTAAATGCGAAAATTGCTGTGATAAACTTGTCTGGCCCTCAGTTTCATTTAAAACATACCCAAAGTATTTGTGAATAATATTGACTACCTGTCAACAGCAGTGTTCCAATTACTAGACATTAAAACGTCTACAATATCTAAAAAGTTTGGCTCTCCCCCCTATATCAACAATAGGAAAACCAAAAATATTTCAAATATTCCAGATATTCCACTATATGTTTCAACTATTTTAACTATTTCAACTATTTCAGAGCTGCCCAAATCAGAGCGAGCTGCAATGCCTGACCTTGAGGAGACGTTGATACAATGTCCGGAATGCAAGGAGAACATTCCTCTCAACTCACTTAGTGGTCACATGAACCAGAAACACAAGCCTCTACACAAAGCTGTGAGCTAATTACCTAATCAGTTAATTATTCGATCATCAAATAATAGATTAAATAGAATAAGTAAATAAAGTCAAATTGTATACAGAAATTTATTGGTGAATATTTAAGTCAGCTATATAAGAAACTATAGATGATGCTGTAAAAGAGGCAGCTAAATCAGATCATTATTAGAAGTACACACCTAATTAGCTGCTTAGTTAATTATTTGATCATCAAATTTGGTAATATCAATTACTGATTTGAGAAGCAAGCTCACGTCGATCAAATCACATACCATGACCATGGTCCCCTTGGAAGTGCAAAGGTGGCTAATATTATCGCTACACAAGCATTGAAAACTCTTACAACACCGATGTCAGACCATACATTGCTTCATGACTCCTTCATAACATTTTATATTATATACAGACCTGTTAGAGACCTGTTGAACTCTCTAGGGCTTCCCTGGCTCAACATCTAGAAATAGTATACACTGCGTGGTTGCTGTTCTGTCAATTAGTTAATTGGCTAATTGTCTAATTGATAAGTGAGCAGATTTGTTAAATTATTTCAAGTACTTGTTTAGAGTGTCAACAGTAAGCTATCACTTATAGTTCACTTTTATTTCACTTTTATTTCACTTTTATTTCACTTTTATTTCACTTTTATTTCACTTTTATTTCACTTTTATTTTACTTTTATTTCACTTTAGTTTCACTCTCCCACATTGCACAATGTCGATTGCCACCCCTCCGTAGCTTGCACAACTGAAAATGTGTTGCAAGCTTCTCCTCCGCAAGCTTCTCTTCTGCAGTGATTTCGTCGCTTTGGGGGGAATTTTTGGGAA